GCGGCTCGTGGCAATATCCTCCTCAAACGTGCGTTCGAAGTGGAGTAATCTCAGCCGGTGCGGGCCCACCGGCATGACAAAACCTCATAACAAGTGCTCGCAGTTACTGAGAAACCCCCGAAACTGACGTGAACACGATGTCCTTTTTCATAAAGTGTGTCGAGCTCTTGAACCTCATGAAATCTCGGACCGAGTACTTCACATACTTGGAGTCAGGTCAATTGAGACCCGGAATGAGGTGTCCCAGGGAGCCCTCGAAGTACTCTATCTTCGACGTGAGGCCCTCGGCGGATTTCCACGCCTCGAGGATCACCCACAAGGAGGTGGACCCCATCGAGGTGTGCCTGAACATTGACCCGGACTTCATCACTCCCCAGACGACTGGAGAAAGTCTTGAGAGCCTCGTCGTTGGTAGCACCGAGGACAGGACACAGCAGACGTTGATTCGCCACAGGGACACTCACCACGTCGATGTGATCGTCTTAGTGGACTGGGGGTCCACGGAGGACACTGTCACCAGGAATAATCGTCTGGTCGCTCTCAGGACGATTTTGACTAAGAAAGACCAGGGGCACTCTCCCCCCAGGCATCTGATCCTCGAAGGGGGGTTCAGGGAGTGGCTCCTGACGTATCCTGAATTCACAACCAACTCGGAGGTGAGTAACAACACGAATCAACACGCAATAACGTAGAAATTTAAGGGTGCCAAGTGAATTTGGCGATGACCTTGACAATTGACATTCACCAACAAAGTTATAATTTTTTAAATTAATAGTATTAGACATATGGTGAACATCGGTGACAATTTTAAAATTTTAGAACTTACGGATATCGAGAAATTAAATAAACAAAATCAGTCTTATACACGACCTCTTATGGAGTTTTGATTAAATTGAAGGTTTTAACCCCCTAGGAACTCAAGAAAAATTTGAAAAAATTTGAAGATATGGGGAATGATGTGTTCAATGTGATGGCGAGAAAAAACAATGGGGTACCGGGGTGAATAAGAGAGATATTTCAACCCGCCGTACCCATTTGATCCCATGCTTTCTCGAGGTTCGTCACGCGAAATAGAGGATTTTCCGCATTTATTTTCTCGATGTCTAGTTCCGGTTCCGGGTTTGAAATTTCGTCGGGTGGATGAATAACTCGGGTGGATGAATTGAGTGTTGACGTTGAGTTATCTGTGTTGAGTTGATTTCACATGTATTCAAAGGTGATAGCTCCTGAGGACTGGACTCCAGAGAAACTTTCCCAGGCCGTGGAGGTCCCCATATATTTCGAGGAGCCTTCACTAACCCTCCCAGAGTACCCAGACTACGAGCCTTCTCCTCAGGTCGACGTGACCCCCAGAAGACACAAGATTGTGACGAAAGTCCTCGAGTTGCTCTCCGAACTCGAGGAACTGCTGAGGGAACAGAAGAAAATGGAGCAACTGTCTGTGGCGAAGACTAAGGAGATCTTGCAGATGACGGAAACAAATATAGACTGCGGGCAATCTTATGGAGATGAGGCTCGCAAACTCAACGAGCAGCTGAAGGATGTAGTCAAGAGGATTGGGGAGAAGGAGGTAGAGATTAAGAAGGGGATGGAGAAGATTGGAAAGGAGAAGATCCATTGGATGTTCGACGACAGGGTGAGGAAGGAGAAGATTGAGCAGGATATAAAAAATCTGAGGAGGCAGATAGCTAGACTAGGGAAGATGAAAACCAACTTGACAATGTGAGTAAAAAATATTTCTCTCTGAACCCATTGATGTAGAATTTATTTTCAGAAGAGAACGAATGAATAATATTTTTTGTTTTGGTGAGAAGTTAGAAATAAGCTAGTAGATTTTTGTGTCAATATCTTTGGAGAAAAGAGGTTTAAAGAAAAAAGGATGACGACGTTTTTTGTAGAAAATTTCCTGAGCTACGGAAAAGGTTATTTGATAGGGGAGAGTGGGACAAAATGAAACACGAAAAACCACTGTTTGATGCAATTCAAGCAAAAAAAATTTTTTTTTATTAAGTTTCATTTTAATGTAATTGTAATTTTATTTATTTTTTTTTTTATTATTTTATATTATTATTCGAACGTGATCTTAGTTGTTTTTTTCAATTTGATAATCTGAAATGATCTCCTGCTATTTAGTTTTCTATAGCCCTGGAGTCTCCAAAAATTATGATTGTACAATCAAAAAAACGTTGAAAAAAAGCTGAACATTTTCAAAGAGCGTTTTTGAATAATATTGGGAAATAAACCCAAAAGGGAGGAAATTGAAAATTAATAATTTGATGTATCTAATGGCTGTTAGGTCATCATTTGTCACAGTACAATGGGTGTCAGGTCGTTAGTTACCATGATAAATTATCCATTCACTATTTCTCCTCTATCGGACTTATTTCTTAATTTTTATTGAAAATGCTCTTTGAAAATGTTCAGTTTTTTCTACTTTTTTTTGATTATATAATCATAGTTATTAGGGACTCCTGCGGGATGTAAAATCCACTGTAAAATATATCCAAATTATGATATATTTTACATATCCAAAATAAAATATATCCAAATTATGATATATTTTACATTATGAAGATGGAAAAACAATCGAGACAACGTTCAAAAGATAATCCACCCGGGCTTTAACTTTTGTTTATCAACTTTTTTTTATTATTGGGAGTGCTGATGAGAATAATAATTTCCCGTAACATTCAGTAGAATGGATAATTATTGAGAAGTTTCGAGGGGAGAAGATTTTGTCAAAGGATTAATTGAAAAGAAAATGAAACAGCAAAATCCAAAGTGCAGAGAATAAAATTACTGTGGATAAAATTAGTAAAAATGATTAATGTTGTGGTTTAGACATAAGAAATATATGAAAAACCTTCAGGGATTTCGAATGAGGATAGCACATAGGCTCAGCGATGACGAGGTCTTAGTTTGGCTGCTGGAGAGTCAGGGGGCAAGTTGACCAGTGGACGTTGAGATCGAGATCTAACAGGGGAGTGGGATTCATCTGTGGAGGTAGTCGATATCGGCGTTTCGAATATCAGTGATTTTTTCGCTTCGCATGTGCTTTTCTACTGAATAGAAAATCACTATTCTCATAAGTACTCCCAATAATAAAAAAAGTTAATAAACAAAAGTTGATAAAAAACGGTTGAAAAATAATTGTGTTTGCTTGAATTGCGTCAAATAGTCGTTTTCAGCTGCTTCATTTTGCCCCACTGTTGCATTTAGCCCCCCTCTCCTCTGCATTTACCTTCAAATGACCCCGAATTCTCCTGTCCACAGGCAAATCATAAGCAGGCCCCGGACGAATGCAACGTTCGACATCTCCGACATTCGTCCCGCTTCCGAAGACATCCCTCCAGCCTCCTCAACCCTCCAAGACTCATCCCCCTTGCGACGTCCTGCACCGGAGCCCGGACTGTCCCAGGAAAAATCCCCCCAGATATCCCTCGAAAATACGCCCATGGAGGTGGACCTCGAGCCCCCCTCCCAGCCCCCTCCAAAACACCCCCTCACCAGCAGAGATGAGATGCGATCAGTTCGTGGAAAAACCCTCCCAGGCACCACTGGCCTCAAGAACCCCGAAAGCTACATCTGCTACGCCAACAGCATCATCCAGTGCCTGAGTCACACGTCTCAAATGAAGGACTACTTCGTCGATAACTTCGAGAACGTTGAAGGGGAAGTCACTCATATTTTGCATCGCGTGATGAAAATGCTGTGGAGTGGCCAATACAAATCCTTTTCCATCGAAGTTCTGAGGGAAAAAGTTGGAGAACTGAAGCCCACCTTCAACAATAAAAATCACCAGGACGCTCAGGAGTTCCTGACGGAACTGCTGCAGATTTTGCACGAGGAACTGAAGGAAGAAAAATCTGCAGAGGATGGTGGAATGGTCAAGAGCCCTCAGGAGGCCATGGATAATGTCCTGGACTGGAAGTACTCGATCATCTCCCGAACTTTTTACGCACAAACTCGTGCATTTATCAGGTGTGAAACATGTGGATCCAAATCTGAGAAGAAGCAGGCTGATTTCGACGCGTTCACCACTCTGATTGTGTCTCTCCCAGAGGGTGACAGTCTTGATTTGAAGGAGTGCATTGATAATTCACTGGACCAGGTACAATCGCGAGACTGTGCAGTGTGTGGTGGCACGCAGCCTGCGAGGGTCGTCCAGGAGTTCACTCAACTGCCACCTGTTTTGATCGTGGCGCTCAATCGCTTCATGAAGACACCAGATAAGGATGAAATTCGAAAGAATGAGACTCCGGTGAGCTATCCTACGAGCCTGGAGATGTTTATTGGGAAGAAAGACGACCCCGAGAAGAAATGTACTAGGTATGAACTGCAGGGAGTTTGTCGTCATTCTGGGTCGCTGGCGCACGGACATTACTACAGCTATTGCAGACTTTTGGGGACCGAGAGGTATGTAGAGCATTATTGGAATAGGGAACTTGCATGAAGCTCAATTTTTATTAATTCCCCTATTCACACATTCCTCGTAACATGGATAACTAAACGGCGAAAATTATGGAGAAATATTGCCTAGATGTCTTATGATAATTAATTCAGTAGCAAAGTGGTAAAACGGTACAAGTCAATTTTGACTATTGACCAGTTTTCAATGAATATCTCGGAATCTAAGGGAGATAGGAAAATTTGCATTATAACCTTTTTTGTAGAGCCGCTTGAGAGCTACAACAAATGTAATTATGAAAATTTCGATATCTCCCTTGGATTCGGAAATATTCCTCAAAAAATCAACTGGGAGATAAATCGACTTGAACTGTTTTACCACTTCGCTGCTGAATGGAAAATCACTCGTTTTCGAGGCCAATTTTTCGGTTATGACGTCACGATGACGGTCAGGTACCGCGTCATTGGTCGAAAAAGAAGAGAGTGGGGAGGTTTCGTCCTCCATTAGCCGAGGCGCACCCCAAGATTGGGTTAAGTCGGCTCGAGTCATTCTGTGATTGGTCCAGCGCTCGACCGCTGTGTGATGTCATTGGCGATTTCAAAGCATTTGAAATCTTTAACTTTCAACAATTAATTATTAATTAATGAGCAATATTTCAAATGTTTATGAATAAAAAATGAATTATTCAGGTCTCAAACTTGAGATTTGAAAATTGAAAAAAATTCATGGAAGTTCCGTATTGAGAGGAAACAAGCGGGTGACAGCGAGCATGTTACTGAAGGTTTTTTAATTAGGGGAGAGTGGGGCTATATGGACATTTTTTACTTTTTGCTTCCGAATGAAAGCTTGTGATCGTCCCAATTTAAGTTTTGAATTTTTTGTGTTATATGGACCCAGTATGATCCAAAAAGTCCGAAATTGCTATTTTTAGACCACGTCCGTACGTGTGTGTGTGTATGTGTACGAATGTAACAAAGTTTTGCTTCAATTGTTCGCTAATAAATGGATGAAATTGAATCTTTTTTTTTTTTCAAATGTGGGTATTGTTGAGCCCTATTAATCGCCATTAATTAAAATTTAATTCATCGATTAGTTTTTTAATTTTCGAATATTTTCGAAAATAGGTTGTCTCACGATTATTAAAGGGAGACTACTATGAGTGTTATCGATTATGTATGTACAAAAACGACTGATTAGTTTAAAAATACTATTTGTTTATTATTCTTTTACTCCACAAACGCTTAAAATGTTAAAAGTAGTCTAGGGCTTCCAATTTTTGAGCTACAGAGGTTTTTTTCCAAATTTTTTCAAAAATAGGTGCAATAACAACTACGAATTAGTTTTTTGAAATGCAGCTCCTACACAGCTGATTTCGTTATTATTTTAATAAAAAATTTCACATAATAAATTTCTGAAAGAATCGAGAATATATTTTAAATATTTTAAGGATAATTTTTCTGCCCATTTTATATGAATAGCGCGAATTTTTATATTAAAGAAAACGAAATGAACTTTGTAGGAGTCGAATTTCAAAAAACTAATTCGTAACTGTTATTGTACACATTTTTTCAAAAATTTTGAAGAAAAAACCTCTGTAGCTCGAAAATTGGAGGCCCTGGATTATTTTTAACATTTTAAGTGTCTGCGGAGTAAACGAACTATAAAAAATTGATTTTTTTGCACTAATTATTCATTTTTCGACATATATAATTGGTCTTCAATGCATTAGAAATCTCACTCCAATATCCCACGACTTTTAAAACTCATAGTAGTCTCCCCTCAAATAAAATGTTATAATTGATTGCATGATGGCTTAAAAAAATTTGTTTGGATGTCTATTTGGCCGATTTCGAAAATGAAGGCGATAGCAGTGATCGGTATTTTGATTTATTTGAAAATTTGCAACATTTCATTCCGGAATTACGGAAAAGATACGTAATTTTTATTGAATATTTCTCTCCGTGTAATGCCATTGAGTCGGAGTTAAAAGATGATTATATTTTCAATGTTTCTATTAGAAACATATTCTTCGAATAAGTCTTGTTTAAAATAAAGAAATCGCAAATAATAGCTGTAAATTCGAATAATGACAAATTTTTTCTGCAGGAATAGATTTAGTTGTTCCGTGCAAATGGACTTATTCCTTTTCTCTGAACTTTTCGGACATTTTTCTAGGTTTTCCTTTGCATTAATTTTTCATTCATTCAATACGAAAGTTCCTGATTTCCCTATTTTATTTTCTCATCTCCTGACCATAAGAGACCTTGCCTGTAGTTAATGAAATTTTCTATAGAACAGGTTCCTAATCAATTAGTGTAATTGGCTCAATTCTTTTTCCACTCCATTCTCTGCTCATTGCCTCTTTCAAATACTGGAATTTTATATTAACAATAGACACTTTTATTTCATTTTTTAGTTGGTATAAATTCAACGATTCAGTTGTTCAATGCGTTGAACTGACGGATGCGACTGCTGACAAGAAGGGGGCGTATGTGCTTTTCTACATAAAATCTGAGAATGCGCCAGGAACACCATAGGTGAGCTGACAATCGCAAAAATGAATTCGAGAACTTTCTGTATTTTTTTTTATGCAAGGCGATTCAGTACTGATTTTTGAGTTAGCTCATGTGTTTTCTAAACCCAGCAAGACATTGTCTATTCTAAGAGGTGACGAGTAGACTTCTTCATGTTTTACATTACTTTCCTGTTTTTACGTGTTATAACTTTTCGATTCTTTACGAGTATCGAAAAAGAGCATAAAAAATCATAAATATTTCTTCGGTGGAAGCAAAATAATCATTAATGGAAAAACGAATTTGCTTTCATTTTTTTTATTAGAATAGAAGAAATTGTGCATTTTTTGCACAAAAAGTGTTTAGGTTTTTTTTATTATAGACTTCGAGAGTGATATTGTCGTTTTGTAATTGAAACAGCGAAGTTGTGCACCACTTGTTTTCAAGATCCGTGCGTAATTGACAAGAATATCGAATGTAACTCTGTAGCAAAGCGGTTAAACGGTTTAAGGGGTAACAGAAGTTTCCCAGAAATTTCAAACAAATTTCCTATTCAAAGTTATTTATATTTTTCGAACCCAAAGCGCATTAATGTTCATCAACTACTCCTGGAGATTAATGTCTTTCGATTTGTAAAAGTATCGATAACGTCCGGCAGGGAATTTGTTAAATTTTTTAAAATTAGCGGCAATATGTTACCTCTCAAGTCGACTTGACCCTTAGCTGAGTCTTTGAGAAATATCTCTGAATCTAAGGAAGATAACGAAATTTTTGTACTAATCTTTTTTATAGATTGAATTGAAGGCTACGGAAGAGGTCATGACAAAAATCTTGCCATCTCCCTTAGATTCCGAATATTCATTGAAACTATCCAATAATCAAAATCGACTTAAACCGTTTTACCGCGTCGCTACTGGACTGTTGACGTCTCATTTGATAATTTATTACAGAATTATTGTTTACCAGGTTGAATATTTGTTTACTGTAGTATTTAATGACAATCGTTTTGATTAAAAATTACTGAAAATACTCGAATAGATGAAAATGATAAAAATGGGATCAAAGAACTGAAATAGCTTGTAGGATAGAAGAATGTTTTGTACGTAAAAAGTTTGAAATATAATTTATACAGAAATCGTGTGTTGTTTCTGATTGAACCTCACATTTTTTAAATCCAATTTTCATTCAGTTCATACTTGGAAGGTGTGGAGGGGGAAAATGAAAAAAGAGCATAATAAACGGTTGTGAATGCGAACAAATGAAATACGGATTGCATAATTAGTTGAAGGAAAGAAATGTCAGAATAACGAATCCACTCAGATTTCAGAAAGAGAAGCAATCTTTCATAATCTAGTTTATTATTATTACCATTATTATTAATTTATTTATTTATTTATTTAAGTATTCTAAACCAATACATTCACTCTACTGAAGAATAATAATCGTAAGACAAAATTGAAGGAATACCAGATCATCCATAGATTATTGACTCATATATTCATTTTAATTTTTTTCAAAAATACATCAATAGCCATAATTGCTCGCATGTTGAGTGTATTAAGGAAGACTCTTACATCGAATAGTGGAAACATTTTCTCTCATAATCTAGAATTGTTGAGAAGTTTGCTCTTTTTCAAATTTGGTAAAGGCGGCAGAGACCGAGAACTTCTAAATAATAAATAATAAATAAATAATGAATAAGTAATGAATAAATAGTAAATAAATAATGTAGTTGACAAAAAAGCTATGTTCTGTGCAAAAAATTGTTAAGAAAAAATACGGCTTTGGTAAATACTGAAAAAACTTAATGTAGAGCCTCAGTTCTGTAAAAACTTGAAGCGTTTATAGTCATTCACTAGGTGGAGAGTAATCGTCTCTCGGCAGTCACAAGTTGGTTCCGTGGTGTAGCGGTTATCACGTCTGCTTTACACGCAGAAGGTCGCCAGTTCGATCCCGGCCGGAACCACATGTTTTTGATATTTCAAAAATTTTTTATACTGGAAATTGATTAACACATTTCGAGAGGCGTCTGACTGTTAGGCCAACTGGGCTTATGTGATAATGATTCAAGTAATCATCGTTATGGGGGATGAGAAATAATGTTTTTGCAGTTCATGCAAATGTAGGGACAATATCTTGGCGAAAATTTTGGCAGGAAGGATTTTCAGATAATTCCAAAGTTCTCTGTATGCCTTCTTCAGTATAATCTTCGAGGTTTTCTCACCTCATCGCCCATATTTTTAATAACCACACTCAGCTTTGCTTAGCTTATAATCATAACTCAGTGCATTCATTACAGTCATAGTCCGACCAACAATTTACTTTGGAAAAATAGTGAATTTTTCGCCGCTGATTTGAAAAAATTATCTAAACGTGAGGGTAATTCGTGCCGTAACTGTAAAATTTACCATTCATGTCATCAAAAATGATCCGGTGATCCCCACATTCACAAATGTGGAGGAATTTTTCAGTGACGGCGAATTATATTTTTTACCAAATGCGTTATACTGAGAAAAAATCTAATATCTGAAACATATAATATTTACTAGAAATAAAATAATTTTTCTTCAATCATCTAATTTTCTCAGTCATCTCAACTCACCGAGGCCAAAAAGATTTAAAATGTCTCATGCTTTAAAATATTCTTGTACTCAGTTATGATTTTATCGCAAATGAACTCACTTAAATCGCGTAGAAGAATCGTTAATCTTCAAGTATTTATTCTTTCTCATGATATTTTTATGCACTTCCAATGTTTCGATATGTAATATACTCATGCTGTAATGCGGAACCATAGTGATAAATGAGAATTTATTTGAGTTTCGTAAAGCGTAAGCATTCTGAGATTTAAGGGGTGACAGAATGCTGCTAATTTTCCAAATTTTTTAACAAATCTCCGGCTGAAAGTCATCGACCCTTTTACAAATCAAAGCTCATTAATCTCTAAGAGGCGATAATGAACCTGACACTGAAAAAAAAATTTTTGTTTGCTTATTATTATTATTAAATTAGGTTTCAATTATGACAATCATGTTCTTCTAAAGGATGACTATGTTGCACATGACCTTGAATAAACTCCTCCAATGATTATTAATTTTTCCTAAATCTCTTATTTTCCAAAAGGAAGAATTTCGATTAATTTTTTAATGTTGATAATTGTTAAGGAAGTTCACTCAAGGTCATAATTGACATAATCATCTACTAGAGCAATATAATTGTCATAATTGAAACCTAATAACGATTGCCTGGTAATGACTCGACTGAAGAAATACGGTACTGAAGAATTAAATATTTCTCTCAAGTAAATTGATATTTGAGAAAAATAATTTTTTTTCTTTTTCAATGTGCTTTGGCTTAAAAAAGTGTTAATAACTTTGAGCAGGAAATTTATTTGAAAATTTCTAGGAAACGGAGACTTTATGTTACCCCTCAAGTCATTGAAAATAATTTACTTCTCTGAATTAAATTTGGTCTACGTATCAGGAAATTTTTCTCTTAGTGTACTCTACCGGTGCGGGAAATTTTACTGTACAGGGATTGATTTTTGATCATTTTTGCATCCTTAGATGTGCTTTTTTTACTAAACAAATAGTAAGATATTCTATATTTACTATATTAGGATTATCTTTCGTATAGTAAAATTTCCCACGATTTTCTGTTACTTTTTATTCAACTTTTGTCTCCGTGTAGAATTATACCGTACACTGAGAGAAAAACGAATACGTTGTCAAACAAGTCTTGTTTGGGCCAACAAAATCGCTAGTTGAAAATTGCCAAAAAAGAATTTGTTTGGCTCGAATTTGAAAGTCTCAAACATGAATAATTGTTCTGCTTTCGACAGCAACGAAATATTTGGCTCAAGAGGTGGATAATTCGCACCAGACTGTGCCTTTTCAGGATGAAAATATCTCATATAGAGGAAAATTTATCAACAAATATTTTATCCCCAAGTTACAAGATTGCTATCATATCATTATTATTGTTTCATTTAAGGGTTCATTTCTTGTCTGTGATTATTAGACTACTATCCCTTGATTAAAAACTACTATCCCTTGTTTCGCATAAAACAAAGATTTTGCGGGAGCAAAATACGTATGGGAGTATCGAATAACGAAGGAGTAGTGCTAGAAATGACATTTTTTGCGTGTACAGAGAATGTAATTTTTTTTTACTACTAAATCTATTTTTGCGACAAAAATTTTTCATTCCGGCGAACTCTCTGCATGTTTGGCACAAAAAAATCCTTTTTTGATAATTTTCAAAAAATATTTCCTTGGCACTAGTAAGACTTGTTTGAGAACTTTGTTATTTTTCTCTCAGTGTAGGATACATCAGCGTAGAATACATTGACGAGGAAGGAATACTATTTTCCCCGAAATTTCTTCAGCGGCCGTTGATTTCTTCACCAAATTGTGACGTCCCAATGATGAAATTTCTTGAGATTTCGATGAAACCCAAACTTTCTAAGAATTCTCAAGAAGTTTATCAAAAATTTTCGTTACAAATGTTTACCACTGTGGTTGGATCACTGATATTTGGCCAATCTCATTCGCTCGAACACTGACCGATTTACTCAGAATCGATTTACCATCTGCCAAGAGAGAAAAAAAATCCTGTGAAGCAATCTTACGATATCTTGTCAGGCGTGAGTGCAGAAGAATCCACTGGCGTCAAGTTTTGTGTGTGTGAGCCGTGGGAAATGACAGTTGGCCTCTTGTCGCCGTGGTCGACGGCTCATACGACTCCACCCGCCCTCCGCACTGACAAGAACACTGGAGTGACAGCAGGGCCGGCCTCACAGGGCCCTTAACTACTTCGTAATTCAGGAAATCATTGATTCGTATTTTTACGAATGCAGAATATCTCTCATGTTGCATCAATTTAAATCGATGAATACTTGAGATTTTTTCTTGTGAAGAAAAAATTGGAGGGGGACGGCTGGAGGGGGTGAGGGGAAACTTCATCCCTTGCAGAAAGAAAAAATCGAGGCCGTCCCTGTACTCAAGTGTCTGACGCGATTGCACACGGTGTGGGAGATAAAAGGTTTTCCTGTTTAACAAAATAGCGCTTCTGAACCATTAGCCCGACCGCTGCCACTTCACCACTGTTGGAATCTTTCTTTTTGTACCTCGAGAGGAGCAAATGCTTATAAAGTTGAACGATATATTGGAATTTATTCAGATTTATTTGGATTTGTTTACATTTTTTTAGAATTTTAAGAAATAATTGTTCAATTTTCGTTTAGGAACGAAAACGTTTCAATCCCACAGGTACAATATTAGAAAAAAATAGAATAGAATAGAATAGCGTTTATTCGATGCCCTGAGATACAAAGATCCCCTAAGGGCAATCCAAAGATTTACATAAAATTCATACAAAATTCACTCTAAATGTTATCAAATTATATCAAATTATTCTGAAACTAAAATATATAGATTAATAGTTGACTAGTTATTTTCAGGAAAGTGACATTGGATTTGACTGTGAGGGAAAAAATTGTGGAATTTCTAATTTGGCTGGAAATCCAATGAAGTTCCGAATTTTTAAGCCGCTGGAAAACGAGAATTCTGTAACTTACTTGAATTTTCAAGCAGAACCTGAATATTCAGAGTCAAATGTAGAGTTCTCAATTAATTAAGAAGTCAAGAATGTATTCATTTTGATTTTCGTGATTTCTAGAAATTTTCATGGGATAATTAAACTGGAATTTACAGTTTCCATGGATTTTTCCATAAAATTTGGAATTTTCAATGATGAAATTTCTTGTAATTTCAGTCGAATTTTCAGATGATAACGATTTTCAAAAACTGTACCGGAAATTCCAAGCAATAATTTTCAAAAATTTTAAAAGTTTCAATTTGAGACTTTCATAGATTCAAATTGAGACTTTAGAAAATTTCAATTTGAGACATTTGAAAATCTCAATTTGAGATTTTTACGAGTCTCAATTTAAGATCATAATTCTGAAAATGAAGCTTCATGGAGAAAATCATTTTTCATCCTGGCGGGCGCAAAGTCAAGTTTCCCTCCCGCGAAGCGCAGGGAATGAAAAATATGGTTCTAACCGCGGTAAAATAAAGGACCCTTATCCA